TCTGTGAACTGCGCAAACGTGGCATTGCCTAGAAGGATGCTTCCCTTTGGAATGTTCACTCTTCACAATTTTCATTGGCGTATGTTTCCGCATATCACCCGAGAGTCGCCCGGCGGGGTCCAAAAGAGGCTTGCATGGGGTGGGAGTTGATAGGCCCATTTGCACTAAGTCTGTCTCTGACTCTCGTTTTGCTGCCACCATCTGGTCTGTAGCCCAGGCCTTCGCCACATTCATCGGAAATGCTTTGTATTTCAATTTCGAATCAGGGTTTAGATTTTTGTAAACCAAAAATAAATTGAAAATGGCAAAATTTATAAGCCACAAGGCAGCTTTATTTGTCCACTTTAGAGAATAATAGGCGAAGTATTGATCGGCTCTATCAACTCCCTTCATGAACATTTTATACTCAGAAATACCAAATAGGTTTCTTTACTTGTTCATATCTCCTTTGAACATCAACCATGCTCGAATTGTGAATTGTGGAAATCATATTCCCAACACGAGTATCCCTATCTCCAAAAAATAGTTCTGCTACTTCAGACACTTGCGTTGGGTGCGATGGAATTTTTTTCACCCCTGGATTTCCAGTACACTCTCCCTACACATATCCAGCAGTACAACACATGCAGTAACAGGAGCAAAACACAACACAGAACACGATACACAAATGTATGTAGGAAGAATGCTCACATAAAAGAGGATTGGCATAATTTGCATGTTTGAATGCGATGTAGGATGAATCCTGAAAAGTTTTATTATTTAGAATTCATCGACATATATGACGAATACAGATTTTAGTCATTTTAGAATGAAGACATCATGGCATGCAGTACAATAGTTTAACATGCATAAAGACACCTGAGGATGGCACATTAGTGCTGAAACATGTAGTATGGAAGTGAAGAATAAGGTGAAAAGTGTATACACTGTAAGTCGGTGTATATATTTTGATCTAATCTTATAGTAATGAGAAATATGCATTATTCGCTAGTTTTATTCTTCTTATTACTTCATGATTCTGCTCTCCATCTTTGTGGAATTTCAGTCCTAATTATATGAAGTCTTCAGCTATTTCTATCCTGTCCCCTTCCATGTTAATTTATCCAGTTTGCCTTGGATTCCTTCTAGATTGTATCAGCATTTTAGTTTTATTTACATTCACCTCTAAGCCAGTTGTTTTTGCTATGGTTTTTATTTCTTTATATGTCTCCATTACTCTTAGCGATCTCGATACTATAATAATATCATCCGCATATACCAAATTAAATAGTGATGGTGCCAAACTATCTCCCTGTTTTAATCCTTGATTTGTCTTAAAGCATTCCGTTAACTGGTTCTGTATTTTAACTTTATTGATTGTTTCTGTCATGGTTAAGTTAATTATTCTACTTAGTTTTGTTGGAATACCAAAAGTAGACATAATCATCCCCTCTGCTTAGCTCTGCTTCATTCTCCAAAGTATGTTGATTTGCTTCCGAGTCAGTTTACCTACTTCTTCTGCCTTCTGTCACATTCTGGTCTCTCCTGGTACCACAAATAAAATGCAGGAACTATGAAAGTCACACTTCAGATATCCATGTGCTAAAGCGCACATAAAGTCTTCAGATGATACATTAAAACATACTAAATTCCTGAGAACTCAGACCTGTGTGTTACTTGTCTGTTGTGTGCTATTGTGTACTACTGTCACCGGGCTAAAACCCAATTGCAGTATAATAAATAATATAATATAAACAAAACTCTGTCACTGTCACTGTAGCGCCATTTGTTTTTAAGATAACTCCTTTGAACGGATCCCATGGAAAACGCCGTCTCTCATTTTTGTGGATGCATGTTTACCGCGGTATTGCCTGTCAACAGACTTCCTATATATATATCCATGCTTTTGCTCGGTGTGGACCGCGTAGAAAACACAGTTTCCCTTCTATTATTGCCCCTATTCATGTTTACGGAGCTGTTGCCTGGCAAGGCGCTGATCAAATCCGTTACGGTATGTTTCATTTAAACACATTTTAATCAGTCTAACTACGTAGTTTCATGGGTACTTCAGACTATGAAAATATTGTGATGTGTTGTGCAATGGAGGACAACCCCTCACCCCGCCAGCGGTGACGTAACATTTTCGGAGCATTGCCGTTGCTACGGTAGTAAGCCAGTCAACACCCCGCCTCTCCCCGCGGTGATGTAACACGGGATGCCACGGTTGCTACACAGCAGGAATCAACTCTCGACAGTGTTGCTAGCAACATGGCGCCAGACAACAGTTGTGCCTATTACGTGGCTGTTTTTTGTGTTGTCCAGAACGAGGATAAATAAGGAGCAGCGAATACTATTCACAGTTAGTTCTCAAGTTACGAGTTAGCCAGGCAGTCAACCTTTCAGTTGTAGTCTAGCATTTCAGTCTAGTATTTGTGATACTGCCAGTGGCAGTAATTGTCAGATTGTAATTTGTGTGATTGTAAGAGCGAGTGGAATAAATTCACTATAACCAACAAGGTGTGAAGTTATTTGTCACGTTATACACCCAACACATGACAATATTATACAATACTTACCTTCTAACTAAATCATAGGCTTTCTTGATGTCTATGAATAGCTGATGTACTGTCACATTGTGCTCCCATTTTTTCTATACTATCTGATGAATGCAAAAGATGAAATCAGTGGTGGGTCTGCTATGTCAAAACCTGCACTCATCATCCACAGTTATTTCTTCTACATCTGGACTTCACCCTGAGAGATGAATACTGAATAAAATTTTGTATGGAGTAGATAACAGTGATATCTCACAATAATTACTACAGTTGGTTTTATCGCCCATTTTGTGAATTAGTACAATAATAGACTCCTTTTACTGATCAGGCAAGTCTTCCTTATTCTAAATAGAATAAAGAAGCTTATGGTTCTCAGAACATATCTCACCTCCTGCTTGATTCAATTCTGCCGCAATTTGATCACTACCTCGCAATTTACACCTTTACAGATTTGCAATAGCAATATGAATCTCAGAAGGCCTAGGATCAAGTACTAACAGCTTAGCTGTATACATTTCTATCTGCCTAATATCACTGACTCTATGTACATTCAATTACTGAGAGAAGTAGTTCCTCCACCTATTCAAATGTTGTGTGAATCTGCAAGCAGATCATCATTCTCATCCTTCACTAAGTTACAGCTAGGTTGGTAACCCCTCTTAAATTCATTTATTCCTCTATACAGGTCTCTAATGTTCTTTTTCTTACTGTTTGTTGCAAGCTCATTGATTTTGTCTTTTAGGTATTCCCTCCTCTTATTCCTGAAATGCCTACTGACTTCACATCTTGTATTGTTCAAATTATCCTCATTTTTTTTCCACTTGGATCCTGTAACCACTGTAATTTGGCCTTTTCCCATTGATCTAATAGTTCTGAGCATCTTTGTCAAACCATGGCTTATGTTTCTTCATAATAACCTAGATTCTTTTCACCTGAAATTTTTGTTTTCTCTGATGGTTTCCCAAGCTGTTTTAATATTCATCTCAGTGTCTAATTTTTCCAAAGCTGTGACCTTGTTTAAGATTTCAACATAATACTGCTCTTTACCCTCTACCTCGTTTAATTTCTTGTGACTGAACCTCTGTGCATTGTTTCTTTACTCACTATCACACCAAATATTATTAAAAATGTAGATAGGAACTATAGAAATAGAAACACCTATATTCTATCAGACAGTCAAGCTACAATTAAAGCACTTGGCTAATACCAGATCACTTAAAAATTGGTATGGGACTGACATCAGTCCCTCATACAACTGGCCAAACATAACAAGAGTTCAACTGATATGGGTGCCATGTCATGAGGGTATTGTTGGTAATGAAATGGCAAATCAGCTGGCAAGAACGGGATCTGAACCTGACTGCTGCACCTCAATTTGAGTTGCCAAGAACGGGTCAAGGACTGGAAGAAAGGAAATCATAAAAAAAAAATACTGGGAATCCGTAACTGGACTCAAACAAGCAAAGGGGTGTATACTAGGCCCCTCTGCCAGAGGAGTAAACCATCTGTTAAAATTAAATGTAGACCAATTAAGATGGGTGGTAGGACTATTTACAGGACACCCACTCAAAAAGGACACTTTTTCAAGCTAGAATTGGCAGATGATTCTACTTGTGAAAGGTGCCTGAAGAAAAAATGAATCGGCCACATATATCCTCTGTGACTGTGAGGCCATAGCATATTTAAAATTTCATCACCTGGGCCAGTTTTTTGTAGAACCAAGTGACTACCATTATGCCCCCCCCCATAAACAAAGTCTTGCATTTCATTCGAAGTGTAGGGTTGATAAAGGGTTAATCAAAAGGGAAAACACAGTAGATCATTGAAGATAAGGGGCCATATTATTGTGGCCCACCCCTTATGTTATGCATTCATTCGTTCAAAAATTATTAGGAAGATAAACTCAGCTGGGATGAGGTAAGTGGGAAGTGCATTACACAGGAGAGAGGTAAGAAATGTATTTAAAATTTAGTTGGAAAAACTGAAGGGAAGAGATTATGAGAGAGCCGTAGGCAGTTAGAAAGTGGACTTCTTTCTTCTTACTTAAGACCAGATCTAGGGTTGGGATTTATCAAGTTGGAAATGAATGTTTTCAGTTTACAAAATGCGGAAAATTTCTTGATTACCTGAATGACAAATTCTCAAAGGCTCTCATTCATAGGACTTGTTTATGCTAAATATATAAGGTAAAATTTAACAAACAGAAAGAAAAGAATTGTGTGATTCTGGATGTTTGGTTGGTTCAGTACATTATAGAACACGATTGAATGAATATTGTGATTTTGTTTTGAACATTATTTCGTTAATTGCTCACAAGTCTGGTAAGGGAATAACATGTTTTGTTCGTATTTTATACTGAAGGTCGATGTTGGAAAAATTAGTAAAGCCGAAAATGATTCTTCCGACTTTCAAAAATCGCGCCAAGGAAACAAGATAACATCGTATAGTCATCTGTGTGTAGTAGATTGAAAGGAAGATGGTAGAATTTTTCGCAGTATGTTTGCGATCGCATTTTGCTATTCAGATATGCTATTTTACTATAGTGATCTAGGCAGAATTGTCGCCTAACTTATGTACGATCAGTTTATTTCTTGACAGAATGGCATGCGTTCTAAACAGTAATCATAATGCAGAAGAAGACGACAGCACTATTGACTGGCAATTACCAATCTCCTTCGTGAAGAAGCGTCATATAGAGAAAATTGAAGGTGCGAATGCCATAACACAGACATGGCGAATGAAAGAAAGGGTAAGGTTATTCAAATACCAAGATAACCAATGCATATCTAGTAAGTGACATTATTTGATGCATTGCTCTTATAATTTCTTGAATCCACTAACCTCACAATGTACGACAGGGTGAATGTATATTAATGCATGTGGGATAGATTATAACTTATGATGCTGTAACCTGTTATCAATGATAAGTCGGCTACTTTGTTGTTTGGCCTAGCAATCGAAATAAGCCCCCATAGGTAGTGGCAGTTCAGACTCCATAATTAGGTTAGAACATTTAAGTTGGTAAACTGTAAGTTAAAAGTAAAAAATTGTTGTAAGTGGTCACTGTATTGTGAAGTTTTGTCCCACAGCATTTTGTTTCTGGTAGACAAGGTGACATTTTCAACACTGCTTTTTCTTATACCTAGATGAAAACAGTGAGCGTGGCCCTTGTTTTATGTCTCAATGTTGGTGTCGATCCTCCTGACATCGTTAAGACACAGCCATGTGCTCGACTGGAATGTTGGATTGGTAATGTATATCATGTCAATTTAATGTGAAAAATGTAGTATCAAATATTTTTGCAAACATCAGATAAGAGCAAAATTTTTAGCCACCTCTTCTTTGTCATTGGTGTTTGAACGCTAGATAGATATTTAATTTTGTGTTGAAATAGTGAAATCTTGAAGAGTAAAATGTGGTTTGTTCAGTGTAAATGTTTATTAATTAACATAGACTACTGTTAGAAGTCTCTTCCCTAAATGTTGTGTTAAATTTAAGACTGTTTTTAATATGATGCATATTTCATTCAATTTATATATATATATTTCAATATCTTTACTAAGATTATTTTAGATTTTGACATGGTTGTAATAGTATGAATGAATGTATAAGGGGTGGGCCTTCTTGGCCCTTACACCACGACCACAGTGATCTGTTGTGCCTCCTCTTCTGATTATCCCCTCAACAATCCTGCGCTTTGAATGAAGCATAGGATTTTGTACGTGGGGACGTCAAAATAGTCACTTGGTTCCATAAAATATTGACCCAAGTGGTGCAATCTTAAATAAGCTAAAGCATCACCTTCGCACAGGATATGTGTTGCTGTTTCATTTTCTTCTTGACACCTCTCACAAGTTGGACTGTTACTTAGTCCCAATTTGAAGAAGTGTCCTTTGAGGTGACAGTGTCCTGTAAGAAGTCCTACCACCCATCGTAGCTGGTTCCTGTTTAACTTCAACAGTTCCTTCGCTCTTTCAGTAGAGGGTCCTTGTATGAGTCCCTTTGCTTGCCTGAGTCCAGTTAATAATCCCCAGTATTTCTCGTGATTCATATTTGTCTAGTCCCTGATTGCCTTTCTGGCAATGCCTATAGAGATGCCACAGGCTGATTCAGGTCCTGTGAATGGATGTTCAGCTCCAGTCTTGGCCAATTGGTCTGCTATTTCGTTTCTAGCAATACCCTCATTCCCCGGCACCCATATCAGTTGTACCCTGTTATGTTTGGCCAGTTCCATGAGAGTTTCGTGGCAATCGCAGACCAATTTTGAGTTGATCTGGTGTTTGTCAAGCATTTTAAGTGCAGCTTGGCTGTCAGATAGGATGTAGATGTTCCAGTTTCTGTAGTTCCTATCTAGATTTTCCATAATACATGCCTTAATGGCATATGCTTCTGCCTGGAATACTGTCGCGTACTTCCCAAGGCCGAAACTAAGTTTCCACCTCATGCCATAGCAGAACACACCAGCTCCAGTGTCCTTATTTATCTTGGAACCATCTGTATACCAGATCAGTCCCCCTTTTCTGTCAGGCTGAAACCCGTCTTCCCATTCACTCCTGTCAGGAAATGTGACTGTGAATGGTTTTTCATATACATGTCTCAGTATCATTTTGTCAGACCCCATTTGTAATATGGGTTCTTTTTTCATGTCCTGAGTTATGTGTGCATGTCCGAAACTAATCGGATTTAGGTTTCCATTGATCACTGCGCTGGAGACGGTAGATTCCTACCCTGGCTTCTGCCTCCAACTGTATATGCAGTGGGGGGAGTCCAAGGAGTGTCTCCAGTGCAGCTGAAAGAGTTGTAATAGTAAGGTGAAGTATTGTTTAGGTGTAGGAACTGCTGAATGGCATAATCAGTTGAATGTTGCCACCAGTCTTTTTCTCATATAGATGCTGCCATCCCTGCCACACCTCTCTGTCTCAGTATCTGATGTATGGGATACTTAACAAGTTATGAATTATTTCTGTAGGGCACCGCTGCAAGTTACACTTACAGTATAAATGTGGTATACAGCATAGAAGCAGTTAGGGGAAACTGGTGAGACCAGTTTGCATGAGATTATGGGGTAAGATGTAAAGACACACCAACATACTTGCAGAATGAGGTTGAGTGAGTTAAATTCACTTGGCTGAGTCATTTATATTTGCGTTTTTTTAACTATACATCTACTGTAATAGTTCATTAATTTGTTACATAGGTTAAATTTCTCATTTTTAATTGTAATTATGTCAAATATTATTCACTTCTGAATAGTTCTATTTACCAGTCAAAATATGCTACTTTGACCACCTATATGTTCTTTCCTCATATTTGGATAATTTTGAAATTGGAGCGTGTGACAAGTACATCCCTCGAATTCAAAGGCTTAGAAGTTATTTCATCTTGGAGATGGCTTGTTTGTACATCATATATTAAAAATTTAAAATTTTATGTACCTTCCATTGCAGAATGATACATGCTAATTTGTATCTGATTGAAATAATTTACACATATCAACTATGACATAATTACCATAGCACAATTCTCATTCACCAGATAAAATTATAAAACTGTGCAGACAACAAATCCATAATTATGTAATTAATAAGTCATTAACCATGGGTCTATATCCAGAAAGATTAAAATATGCAATTATTAAGCCAGTATACAAAAAAGGAGGAAAGGCTGTTATAAGTAACTACAGGCCAATGTCTATAGTAACTGGGTTTGCAAAAGTTTTTGAAACAGCAATTTTTAGAAGACTCAATGATCATATTGTAAAACATAAAATATTACTTTGCGAGCAGTGTGGATTCCAAAAGGGATTATCAACTGAAGATGCAATGTTTAAATTAACCAGTGTAATACTTAAGCCTGGAATAGAAAAGAGTATGTAACTGGTATATTTATTATTATTATTATTATTATTATTATTGGAGGGGGTGGGTTTCCCCATGCACTGCAACCAGTTTGATCTATTGTGCATCCCCCTATAATCTTCTACCAGTCTCTATACCCTACCGGTATTGGTGCTTACCATCAGTCCCTACTCAGCCAGCGAGGTCGGCCTCTACTGGCTCAGAGTTATCTCAATGCTTCCCCCATCTACCAGAGGCGTTACAGACTACTGTTGGGCGGGAAATGTCCTAAATTTAGCTCAGTGGCTTCCTTTGGAGACATTAGGTTCTTTTACGTGCCGTAAAGCTACGACACAGGACCCACGGCTTAAAGTCCCTCCCAGAGGACTTGTTCCCTGAATTTTCCCGCCCTTAAAAATTCCACGACCTCCGCCGGGTTTGAACCTGCGTACCTTGAGTCATGAGGTGGGAACGTTACCCCTAGACTACGGAGGCCGCTAACTGGTATATTTTGTGACATAGCCAAGATCTTTGACTGCGTTACATGATCTTCTATTAATGCAACTGCAGTACTAAGGAGTGCAGTGTGTATTATTGCAATGGTTTAAATCTTACCTCCAATATAGCAGGCAAAGAGTGGAATTAAATTATATAAATAACAAAAATATTATTCTAACTGGGAAATTGTTGGATGTGGTGTGTCTCATGGATTGGTGTTGGGACCCTTACTCTTTAATATATACATAAACGATTTCCCCCTTGAAATTAGTAAAATTTTGGAAGTTATTGTGTTTGCAGATGACACAAGTATTCTTTGCACGGCTAAAGACTACTGTAATTTAAAAACAAAATTGGATGTTGTTTTCAATCATATGTTTTCGTTGTTTCAGAATAATCAATTAGTGTTAAATCTGGATAAAACAAAAATGATAAAATTCACCCCAACAGCAGCTACAAGCTACCGTCTATGTACATTCTTTTTTAACAAAAATCTGAAAGAAGTAGAAATGATCAAATTTCTCTGTTTGCAGCTGGATAATCGTCTAACTTGTAAAGGACATATCGGTTTTTTGCCTCACAAGTTGAGCACAGTTGGTTTTCTAATGCGTAAATTATCCCATATATTAAATATAAATAGTCTTCAAGCTGTATATTATGCATATTATAATTCATTGGTGAAATAAGGAATAATATATTGGGGAAATACATCAGACAGTCATAAGGTCTTTGTTATACAAAAGAAAATAATAAGAAAAATGATGGGAGTGGGCCCAACTCATACAGTAGAGATTTATTTAAAAAGCTTGACATACTACCAATCTCATGTGTATATTTGCTCTCATTGATGATGTTTGTTGTTAATAATTTGGATAAGTTTCAAACCAATAACTCTGTATATGTCATTGGTACCAGAAGGAATGACCACCACCTTCATATACTTTGAACACATTTATCATCCTATCAGAGAGGGATGTATTATTCAGGCATCAAGCTATTTAATACTCTGCCATCAAATATCACAGTTTTAAAAAATGATAAAAAGCCATTTAGGTTTGTTCTACAAAATTATTTGGAAAGTAATACATTTTACTCAATTGTTGACTTTGTCGAGCATGTAAGTGGCTCAGAAATTAAAAGTTAATAAATGGTCTGTGTGCATGAATTATACATTGTTGAGACTTGCTTGTTGTAAGTGTAGTAGTATGTATGATGTCTGTTTCTGTTATGAATTTTAATATTTTATAATGTAACTTTTTGGATGATACGGCTTGCCAGCGTGTGTGGAATGGCAGGGTGTGAACTTGATTGTGGTTTCTCCATGACCTATGTGTGTTGTCCTGACAACTTGAGCTATTCTGTCTCAGGCTTGATTTTATATTTTATTTGACCAAGGATGAATGATGTGTAGTCGTCATGAATTTGTAATATGTGACATGTTTTACATCAAGCCCTACGGGGAGATGATTGGATCCATGAAATGATAAATGAATGTAAATGTAAACCCTTTCATCTGCCAGATAGCACCTGAAAGTCATTAACTCTGGCAGGCTTGTTGGCTTTTCTCAGATCCTGGGCAAACCAATGACTGGCCATCAGTGTTAGTACTCCAGACTTCTAGGCTCTACAAGAAATCCTGAAAATTTCTCAGAACCGTTGTAGTACAGTATGAGACAATGGAATATGTGTTGTAATATTCACATTCAAGCTTGATAAACATTGTAATATAATGGCCATATATCTAAATTGTAATAAATAAATAAAATAGATTCTTGATAAGCTAATGAAATCAGTTGAGGACATCTGTATATATATGTGGCAGTGTTTACTCAAGATCATTGCATTTTCTATCATTATATATTGTGACATGTTGCGCAACGAAGGACCCCTACCTCCCCAGCGGCATGAGGCGGT